GTCGATCACTCACTCAATCATTCTCTCGACCCTGCCCCTCCCATTACCCTGCCCCTCCCCCTCCAACTTCTCCCCCTATCCTCATCCTCCTCCCCTCTGTCTCCTCCTCCTCCTCCTCTTTCTCCTGCTCTCCCTCCTCCTCCTCATTCTGCTGCTCCTCACCTCGATGTTCCTTCCGACTGCTCCCTTTTTCTCGCCTCCCGCTCGCTCGTCGAGGCTTCGCCGGCAAGCGATCGGCAGCACGACGGGGGCGGAGCCCACGGGACACACCATTGGGCCCCGCCCCCGCGAAGCGGCAGGACGACGAGGGCAGGCCCCGAGCGCCCCCCCGTGACAGAACGGGGGCATGTCGTCCAGCCTCGCGTCACGCTGCAGCAGAGTTCTGCAGGAACCTCGCCGGCCCCTTCTCAAACGAAGCTCTGTTTCCTCCTTCTCCTCCTCCTCCTCCTCCTCCTCCTCATGAGGCCGTGCGTTATTCCCTCCTGATCCTCCTCGGTCCTTCTTCGTCTTCTTCATCCTCCTCCTCCTCCTCCTCCTCCTCCTCCTCTCTCGCTCCCTCCTCCAACCTTCTCGCCCCTTCCTCCTTCTCCTCCTCTTCCTCTCCCTCATCCTCCTCATCCTTTTCCTTCTCCTCCTCCTCCTCCTCCTCCTCCTCCTCCTCCTCTTCCCCCTCCCGCTCCTCTTCCCTCATCCTCGACCTTCGACCCCCAGAACCGTCTAGAAGCTTCAAGCCCGATCCGCATAAAACCTATGCTCTCTGAGCTTCGCGCGGGTGTCTTGGATCGGCGCTGGGACCCCCTCCACGGCGCGCGGATCGCGCCCTGGGCTGCGATCCAAAGGCGCCGCCACGGGGGTCCGGCATAGCTCGAAGAACTCGGCGCGGACCTCCGAACGATGGCATGCGGCCACCGCGCTGCGCATCTCGCGCCCCAGGGCGCGGCGCGCCACACCGCCCGCCTGGCGCCCGGCCCCCGGGAGCCCTTCCCCTGCAACGGACTCCGCCGCCCTTCCACAGCAGCAGAGCTCGACGAGCTCCAACCTCGGCCATCGTGCTGCCATGGAGGCCCCCAGGTCGGGTCGGAGTAGATGGGGTCGGAGGATCGCGCCGCATCGGCGATACATCGGCGATGCATCGGCGATGCATCGGCGACGTCGGCCATGCATCGGTGACGTCCGTGTGGAGAAAGTCGAGCTCCGCATCGAGCCGCATCGCCGATGCATCGGCGATGTGGCGCGATCCTCCGACCCCATCTACTCGGACCCCAAGACGGCCTAGATTTAGGTCGGGCATATCCTTCTACAGGCGAACTGTGGGCGAAACTGTTTTTTAGATATACCCCAAAATTGCTCAAAAATATAAAAAATAGTCGACTAATCGTCCCCAGACTGTTTCTTTACTACTTTTGCATATTCCTCCTGTAGAGGGACACGCCAGACGTAAGACTAGATGCCAGAAGGAGCGCGGCGGCGACGATAAGGGCGAATAGCACAGGGGCGGGCATTACACTTCTCCGCCCGGGAGCCTTTCCGAAGACCTAGATCATCGGCGCACCTGAATACGCGTATTGCTCTCCCCTTGGCAATTCGCCCTCATCGTCAGGTCGGACCTGTCCCCCTACAGGGGGATTTTGGACGAAAAATTAAAGAGACGTAAGACATACTCCAAAAACATGCTCAACAAATAATCAAAACATGGTCCCCAGACTCTTTTTCGACTCTTTTGGGATACATTCCCCCTACAGAGGGACAAGCCCGGCTTGACCCTATCTTCGCCTCTGAGACTCGAGCAGGGACCGACCGTCCCGGCATTCCTATAGTCCTACCACGCAGTGTTCTCAGAACCCAAACCTTTTCGAAGAGCAAAAACCATGTTCTTAGAACAATCACCCGATGTGTTAAACCAAGACAAGCTAAAACAGCAACGTTCTACGAACACTTCGTGGACACCACAAACAGTTCTTATAACACTGTTCGGTAGGGCTATAGACGGGAGCGGCCAAGAGTGGGGTGTCCAAGACGGGGGGGTGCAAATCATGACCAGCGGCATGTGCGCGGCCCAGCGGGGGGGCCAGGAACGTAATGAAATAAGACGAGGCGCCATGAAATCTGAGGAAATACCATGGCCCCCGCCATAAGATCCCCTCCCCCCCCCCTGGTCATCACCCCCTCTTTGCCGCCCCCGATACAGAGGAGCCAGGACGCTTCGCTACTGCTCGAGCGACTCTCCAGGCCACGCCGAGCCCCGGCGTCGGGTGGGCTCCCCCGACCCCGGCGCGGACCCGAGGCGTGGTGCCCGCGACCGGGGCCCTTCCGGAGCCCACTGGGGGGGACCTCGCCTCGGCGTCGTGGCTGCAGCGCGAGCGCAAGAGCTGCAGTGAAAGTCGGGCCTGCCCCTATGCAGGAGGACTGTTCCAAACTAGTCAAACAATATCCTGGGGACGATTTTGTGACGATTTTTCCTCTTTGAGGGGGGGATGTTGTGACCACTTCCGTTTTTTGCTCCAACATCCGCCCGTAGGGGGACATGCCCGACCTAAAGCTACAGATCAGCTCCGTTCGTGCCCCGACCTCGTTCGTGCCCATCTGTTACCGCCAGCAGCGCTGTCCCCCCCCCCTCTCCCCGCAGAGAGAGCTGGCGGGAGTCATCCCTTTATAATTCTGGGGCTACCTATACGACCACCCTTCGGGTGATAAGGAGGTTGGGGGGGGAGAGGGGGGGGAATCAACATCTGACTCAATCGATCTCACTATCGATCTCACTCAACGGGACACTACGGGACACCACGGGACACCATGGGACACCACGGGACACTTGTCAATCTCACTATCGATCTCACTCAACGGGACACCACGGGACACCACGGGACACCACGGGCCACCACGGGACACCACGGGACACCGCGGGACACCTCTCGATCTCACTATCGGTCTCACTATCGATCTCACTATCGATCTCACTCAACGGGACACAAGGGGACACCACGGGACAGCACGGGACACCTGTCGATCTCACTATCGATCCCACTATAGATCTCACTCAACGGGACGCCACGGGACACCTCGGGGCACCAAATCGACCTCAGTATCGACCTCACTATCGATCTCACGATGGATCTCACTCAACGGGACACCACGGGCCACCACAAGACACCACGGGACACCAGCGGGACACCGCGGGCCACCGGCCGCCGGAGGAGAATCATTTGGTCCGGCCGCGGCCCAGCCACAGGAGGATTTCGGGATACCAGCGGGACACCGGCGGGACACCGCGGGCCACCGGCTGCCGGAGGAGAAACATTTGGTCCGGCCGCGGCCCAGCCACAGGAGGGTTTCCTCTCGCCCGCCCACGCAGCTTCGCCTCGCCCCCACGCACGCACGCACGCACGGCACGCACGACACGAACCCGAACCCGAAATCGATTTCCTGGTAGGGGGGGTCTCCGTTTCACGTCGGACTCACCCCCCAACCTCCGATAACATTATCTGGGTCTGGTGCAGTTCCAAGAACTCGTCGCGGACCTCCGACAATTGTTATGCACATGCTCGGATATTTGTTTGATGTGCTCGCTTCATTCTGAAGAACAACGTCACGGGGGGACACGCTCAAGGGGGGGGGGGGGGGAACATCGACCTGGAACCAGAAAACCTATGCTGATAGCTCGGCGATAGGCCCCCAGGAAAGCTACAAGTCCACGCGTTCCTGGGGAAGGTGGGACATCGGGCCTCCAGCGGCGAGCAGTGGGCGATCGGGCTGGATGCATCCCCCTGAGCCCCTCCCCCCTCCCCCCCTCCCAACGTTGCGGAGGAGGAGGAGGAGGAGGAGGAAGAGGAGGAGGAGGAGGAGGAAGGGAGGAGGGAGGGAGGAGGGAGGAGGGAGGAGGAGGGAGGGAGGGAGGAGAGGAGGAGGTGGAGTAGGAGGCGGCGGGGGAGGGGGAGGAGGAGGCCCCTGACTTTCTGCCCGTCCCCCTCGCAGCAGAGCTCGACGCCGTGAGGTTGTCGACCCTCTCCTCCGGGGTCGCCGCGAAGCCGGTCAAGGTCCTCTGCTGCTCCTGCGTGGTGTGCACCTCCGAGAATACGCGGGGAAGGGGGCTGTGCACCTCCGCCCAAGTCCTCCCCCGCCTCCGCTTCCTGCGCCCCCTCACCAGACATCCTCGCGTCGTGAAGCAATCGCGCGCGACGGGAGGTGGTAAAACTTCGGGTGGCGCACAGATAGCACCAGGGTAGTCCCGGCGGGACTCCGTAGGCCCCCCCGAGAAGTCCGGGGCGGTCTCAACACCCTGGCGCCGCCTCCAGCGGCGCTCCGCGCCCCAGGGTTGAAGTCCTGTGACGGCAACGGACTACTCGGGGAGCCTGTTGAAGCCAGCTGGGGCTACCTGGGAGGGCTGTCTGTGCGCAACCCGTAGCCTCAATTGCCATCCTTCTCCCCCTCTTCCCCCTCCCCCTCCCCATAGCTCCTCGTGACGGTAAAACAAACAAGGAGGGTGGTGTTGGCCATTCTCAGCCTCCGGGGGCCCTCGCTGGGCCCCGGGGCAATCAAAAAACGACTCGGGATGAGCAGGCCCCGGGAAAAGGGGTCAGGACCCCGGGGGGACCACAATGAAACAATTACGGCGTCAGAGGCCTGGGTCATGCGCCCTCCTGATGCGCGGAGGGAAGAGGAGGAGGAGGAGGAGGAGGAGGAGGAGGAGGAGGAGGAGGAGGAGGAGGAGGAGGAGGAAAAGGAGTAGGAGGAGGAGGAGGAGGAGGAGAAGGAGAGGAGGGAGATGAGGAGGAGGAGGAGGAGAATGAGGAGGAGGAGGTGGAGGAGAAGGAGGAGGGGAGGGGAGGAGGAGTAGGAGGAGAGGATGGAGGAGAGGAAGAGGAGGAGGGAGGACGAGGACGAGGACGAGGAGGAGGACGAGGAGGATGACGAGGAGGAGGAGGACCAGGTTAAACCCAACTCTCATCAACGATGTTGAAGCACACCCTCCAAGATCCATCTTCATAATTCGACCCCTGCACGGGGTCATTTCCACTGACAGAATTGCCCCGTAACACCATTATCGTGACTTCGACGCCGCGAATTAACCTTACTGTTACGTCATGGCGATCCTGACTCGTGCGAAAACAACATTCGTGGAACTTCAACACCGCGAATCATTAGAATTGGTGCGCTCTGACAATCCTGAATGGTGCCAAAACACAATATCTGGTTCGCTGACCTTGAGAATCATTGAACATATTGCGCATGCTCAAGACGAATGTGCGCGGCGCTGGGGCGAGAGTCCGGAACATTGTTGCACATGTTGAAAGCGAATGTTCCCGGCGCGCTAAGGCGAGAGACACATCTAGAAAACGACCCGCCCTCAATCCGTGAAGCTCTTGCACATGTGTAAAAAGAATGTGCGCGGCACGAAAGCGAGAAACACATTTTGAACACGACCCGCTCTCAATCCGTGGAGCTATTGCACATGTTTAAAACAAACATGCGCGGCGCTTAAGCGTGAACCGCATTTTGAGAGCCAGCCACCATCCATCCGTGGAAATCTTGCAAATTAATGAAACGAGTGCACGAGACGCTAAAGCGACAGCCACAGTTTGAGAGCCGCCCGCCCTCAATACTTGAAGTTATTGCAGCGTTTTTTGATATAAGAAAACACGTGGGCGGCGCTCAGATCAGGACCGCATTTTGAGGGCCACCCGCCCTCAATGTGTGGAAGTCTTGCAAATTCATAAAATGAACGCACGTGGCGCTAAAGCGAAAACCACAGCTGGAGAGCCGCCCGCCCTCAATCCGTGAAGCTTTAGCAATGTTTTCATATAAAAACGCGTGAGCGGCGCTCAGGTGAGAATCGCATTTGGAAGGCCACCCGCCCTCAATCCGCGGAAAAAAAAACGAGCGCGCGAAGCGCTAAAGCGAGAGCCGCAGCTTGGGGGCCACCCGCGCTCAATCGGTGGAACGCTTGCATATGTAGAACACAAACGCGCGAGACGCTGAAGCGGGGGCCACGCGTTGAAAACATTTTTCTTCCATAAAAAACGGTTGTCAATTTTTTAACATCAGAGTGAGGCGCGGCGAAAGGTCTCACGCGAAACGCCCAGCCCGCGCTTTCGACCGGCCTCGGGGCCCGACAGGGAGGAGTTATCTGCCAGGGAAAAAAATAGAGGAAGAGGAAGAAGAGGAGGATGAGTGCGGAAAAGGAATAAGTGGTGCTTTGCCCGCGCGGGTAAAACGTGACGCCGAACACGGCGCGGGCGAGCATGCCCTGGCAAACCTGCCACGCATCATAGCTTCCCTTAGCAAGGCAACGGGCACACGTGTACAAAGAGGGAGCAGGCACAAGCTGAATCCGTCCTCCGGCTTCCTATTATTGGCTAGCCCCCAATAGCGCCGGAAACGCCGTGCCTCAGGGGGGAAACGCGCAAATAGGAAGCAACGGGCAGGACCCGAGCATTGGACCAGCGACCACAACCCCGCAGGGTGAGGTCGCCCCCTGGCCCCTTCCCCCCAGCCAACAGGCGGGGCGGGAGGAGGCCCCACCAGGGGCGGGATTGGTCAAGTGCTGGGCCTACCCAGCAAGACAACACGGAACGGTACCCAGCGCCAGAACCTCATCATAACACGGCAAGCGATATGCCCGCGGCTAGTAGCAATCCAACAAAGGTGGTTGGACGCTGTGAGCCGCGGGCACCCGCCTCCGCAACATCATCGGCGGTGCACCTCATACAGGAGGTGCCACGCGGCGCCCAGGCTGCACCGCTTGGCCGCGGTGGCAGGGGCTTAAAAAAATACCCTGGCCTGACGGCGGAAACGGAATCGAGGAGGAAGAGGAGGAGGAGGAGGAGGAGGAGGAGGAGGAGGAGGAGGAGGAGGAGGAGGAGGAGCAGGGGAGGAGGAGGAGGAGGAGGAGGAGCAGGAGCAGGAGGAGCAGGAGAGGAGGAGGAAGAGGAGGAGGAGGACGAGGAGGAAGGAGTAGGGAGGAGAAATAGCAGGAGGAGGGAGGAGGAGGAAGGGAGGGAGGTACGCCGAGCAATGAGGAGGCATGGGCCACCAGGAGACGGCGACGGTGACCGCCACGAAGAAGACGACGAGCAACCACCATCATCACCATTCCCTCCCCCCCTCTTTCCCTCCCTGGACACGACCCACTCAGCGGACAAAACGCCACCACCTCCGCGAGACGTCGACGACATCTACCACGAACAATCACCATCATCACCGTTCCCCCCCTTCCTTCCCCTCTCGCTCTCTCGACCACTACCGCCACCGCCACTCGAGTAGGAAATCGACCGCAGAATTGATTAATCCCAGAGTTGTACTTGTCGGATGTAGGAACATAATTACATCACATGAACGCTTAAAATCGCTCGAGGGCCTCTCGAGTGCACCAAGATGTGGCAAAATGCACGCGGCGCAAAGATGCGCTCGGGTCCCAATCCTGCGCGAACACTTGCACGTCTGCAGGCAACTAGAGCCGTTGAAAAGCAGCTCCCAAGCGGAACTGAAGGGGGGCCGCGGCTTCGAGCCACGGCTTCCTCTCGGCGCTGGGCCCCCGAACGAAGGCAGCACCGAGCGGCTGCGCCGCAAGCGATAGGTGATCCCGCAGCGAGGCGACCCGAAGAATCAAGCGGCGGCGATCCGCAACCCTGGCCACCTACCCGCCCCTCCCCCACCTCCCCTGTTCTCCGATGCGCTGCCTGGTACGACAAAAATGTATGTATAGAAACGCTGGCTGCCTCACGCCGCGTGCGCCGCCAGCGCTGCCGCGGCGAGGCCGGGAAGCGCAGAGAGGCCGGCAAGGGCGGCGCTGCGCCGCGCGAGGCTGGCAGGCGCCGGCAACCCGCCGGACGAGCCGCAGAGGCCGTAGTTGTAGACGCCCGAGCCGCCCACCGCCGTGCCCCAGGCGAGCGCGCCGTCCGCGATGTCGTCGTCCGTCGCGGAGGAGCCGAGGGTCTCCCAGCTGAAGCCCACGACCTTGTAAGTGGAACAGTATTCCACGCTGTTCGAGGTGGACTTGGAGTAGCCGTAGCAGTCGTCCCCGTAGTCGCTCGTCGTCGGGCAACAGCCGCCCAAGGTCATCTTGGAGCTGTCCGCGTCCGAGCACGTAAAAGCGGGGTTTACCACGAAGCATTTGCCGTAATCGCAGGTCGTGCCCGTGCTCATGCCAGACCGCGATCCATCATCGTTCAAGCCGCACCGCACCACGCCCTTGTGGTACTCCGTGCCAGATCCAAGCGCGACGCCCGGGGTGTAATCGGTCGGGCAGCATCCATCATCGCCGTAATCCGCGACCTCCACCTCGTCGTCGACTCCCATCGTGTTCCAATCCGAGATCTTGACGCACTTGGTGAACTCTGCCCCGAGGTCGTAGTCGGAAAACTTCACGGTCTCCGCCGCGGCCACGGCCGCGCACCCAGCGACGAGCAGGGCACGCGAGCTGGGCGCCATGGCGAACGGGAGGTATCTGGGACGGCGCCGAAAGGCTCCGCAACCTCGTCTGTGGCAGCACGCGCAAAATAGCTGGAGCGAACATGGTTCGAGCCAAAATGGTTACGGACCGTAGACATGCAAGCGTTCGGCGTTTTTTAGATTCGGCGAACAAATCAGTTCTGGGGTGGATCAATTACGTAGCCGATCTTCTACCCGAAAGACGCTGGCGCCAGGGCCTCGTAATGGTAAACGGTGACATCCGACAGACCAGGACGCAGCCGTGGGCCGGAGTTCCCTTTGCCCTCCGCGCCCTCCCGCCAGACATGGCAGAGTCCTGGCTTGCAGAGTCCTGGCCTTGTGAGCAGAACGAGGAGCACAGCTGCGCAACACACACACACAAACTCTCAGAGGTCAGATCGAAAGAGACGAGCTTCCGACACGCCTCGCGCATCCTGCAGACCGCGGCCGCCGGGCCCAACATGTGCCGGTGCTCCCTGGGTATACCGCTTCCTGCCTTCGTCGAATGACGGCTGCACGCCGCGGCCAACAGGCCTAACGTGTGCCAATGCTCCAAGGGTGTCCCGTCTCGCGTTCTCGGGTGGCCATCGTTCGAAGCAGAATCACGGATGTTTGCTTTGGGCGCGAACAGGGAGCCTGAACTGGACGGCACTCCAGCAAAACTGGCTGCGAGGGGGGATGAAGCCAAATCCGCTCAAGATCGGTCCCCTTGCGGGGTCCATCTGGTGCAGGTTTTCACCCCGCATCCGTTTCTCGCGGTCCCAGGGCCCGAAAACTGCCCCCAGAGGCCGATAAAGGGGGGGGGGGAGGGGGACAACAACCTACCCGAACCCAGTGCCTCGAACCTGCCCCCCCGCCATTCCTGCTCGCGGGAACCAATGCTAAACCACCTCACACCTCCAGCCGACTCCAACCGTGCGAACGTCTTTTTTTATTCGGCGTCTCGACACTGGGCGGAAGGGCGAGGGGAGCGGGGGGGTCTGGCTCCGGACCTCCGCTCAATGCGACTGCTTTCAACAGTGCGTCCTGTCGGGGCTGTCGGGGAGACTCCACCTGCGTGAAACAGGCGCCAAAAACACCCAAGATCTATTCCAACGGGGGGGGGGAGGGGGTGTGCGAGGGCCTTCGCCGATCGGCAAAACAGTGAATCAGGAAAGGATCACCATGCTTCTCTTCTCCGAAAATACGAACAAAAACAACAATTGTCAAGCTATATTCAAAACATCGTCCCCATGCTATGTTTGACTATTTTCAATCCTCCTCCTGTAGAGGGGCAAGCCCGACTTAAACCTTGCCTCAGAAACTAAACGCTGGGCGCGCCCGGCCAAGCACGCGCCGCCACGGGGGGCCCGCGCGACCCCGCGAGGGCACACCAGTTGGCACCACGCCGCAGCTGCACCGCGCCAGTTCGGCATGGGCCCTGACGAAAAACAATCTGACGCTGGCAGGATCTGGTTTAGTGATGTTCTTGTTTTTCTCTGGCGGGAGGAGATGGGAGCGAACTCTTCGCTAAGGGCTGTGGCGGACAGACAGCTCGCGCTACAAGACGCAGCTGTTCAACCAACACCACTCGCGCGCAAGACAGGATCTAGTTTAATGACGTCTTCCGGGGGACGCCCTCCCCCCCGCCCCATACCAGAACTGCTGCCAGCCGAAGAGATGCCAGCCACGGCGGACCTGGCTTAATGATTAGTCTTCTTGTTTTTGGCTTCGGGGCCAGGTCACTCGCCGGCCTCCCTTGCCCGGGGTCCCGGCTTTGTCCAAGGAGTACACGGCCGCACGAACATAAACTTTCGGATGTCCGCGCGGATCTCAGACAACTTACGCTCTCGCCTCTTTGTTCCTCTTCGAGCGAAGAAGCTGTGCTATAGATCCAGAGTCAGCTTCGTGTTCGCTCTGGCCTGTACCGATGCCATACAAAAAACGATGCGATGGCACTCGAACTGTAGCGAGATGAGGCGATGCAATGGCCACGACGCCTCGGCACACCACGACGACCCCGCGACACGACACCACTGCAGCGCGCACTCGCGGCACCCTGGCATGTCCCCGCCCAGCCAGCAGCTGCAGCAGCAAGGCAGATCGCTGCCGCAAGAGGGGCCCAAGAGTGGGGAAGCGAAGGTGCCCTGAGGCCAAGATAGCCTCAGCGATCGCCCAGAAGCTCCAAGGACGCCCCAAGAGGCCCCCCAAAAGGCTCCCGATCCGTCGCTTGTGCTGGCCCCGCAGCTTGGCCCCCTGGGGGGCCGGCGGGGCGGCGTAAGCCCGCGAAGCGCTGCCGCGAGCCCCCGCACCACGGTAGCACGCACGCAGTTTCGCACGCAGGGCGCCGCTGTTCGGCGCCGACCCGTGGCGGCGTGCCCAGCACCACGCTGCACATCGATCGCCTTCTGTGCCGGCGGCCCGCTTCAGAACCACGAGGAGCCTCGGGGGGTGACACGTCCAGCGAACAAACACAGCGAAAGAACAACAAGAAACAGGCCCCTGCGACACGCTGCACCTTGCAAGCTGACAACGTGTCGCTCTGATTCGCGGAACGGGAGGCCGGGAGAAGGTCGGATTGTTGATGATTCTGGAATGGGACGTGCTTCGCGTGGGCCATGACCGGCACCGCGACATGTCAAGCAAACCTTCCTGGCCGCAACACACCGCAGATCTCAAACACGTCCGTGTGAGAGGAGGGCACGCGCGTGTGTGTCACCCACGTCCGTCTCACCCTCCCTCTCTACCGTCCCTCCCCTCTTCTCCCTCCCCTTCCTGCCTACTTCCTCGCCTCGCTCCGACCCTCCCCTTGCCTGCCGTCCGAAAATCCTCCTGATTCGAATATTGCCAGAACACCCTTTAGCAAGAGGACCTTTAGTGAAAGCTGCCAGGTTCACTCCACGTGCGCACGGCACCGGGGTACTTCGCTCGTCGACGTCCACACACAGCCGAAAGTATCCTGCGAACGCACGTCGATTATAGCGAAAACGACTGGGGACTGTAGCGTTACGCTCGAATGCCAATGTCGAGCGCCGGCAAAGAGCGAGGGTGGGAAATGAGAAGGAGAAGGCCTTCTCAGAAGGCGGCGGGACTATTCAGAAGCCCCACCGCCTTCTGAGAGGTTGTTTGTGTCCTCGGGGAAGGCTTATAAAACTTTTAGAAATAAAAAAAACCATTCCCCCCTTTCGCTCGCCGCAGAAAGTGAACAAGCGCGGGTCTCCTCAATCGACTTGCTGACTGGCTGGGTGGGCGTCCTCTGCATGCCTGAAAATGATCGGTCGCATCCGGGCTTCCCCTACCCCGCCCGCTCTTCCGTGCTCGTGCTCCTGCTCCAGCTCCTCGCCCTCCTTCTCCATTCCCCTGCCCCTCCTCCTCCTCCTCCTCCTCCTCCTCCGCCTCCGCCTCCGCCTCCTCCTCCTCCTCCTCCTCCTACTCCTCCCTCTCCTCCTCCCCTCCCCCTTTATCCTCCTTGTCCACCTCCTCCTCCTCCTCGCCTGCCGCTTTCCGTCCTCCTCATCCTCCTCACTCTCCTCCTTCTCCTCGTCATCGTTCTCCTCCTCCCTTTCCTCCTGGCCGCATCGAAGCCTCCACGAGTGCCATCACCGCTTGCACGCTCGCCCTTGCCTTGGCAATGAGGGCAGCGCTGGCGGTCGACTGCTGGGCCCCCTTCAGTAGCGCCAGAGCCTACCGCGGGGCAGGAGAGGAGCACAGCCCGCGTGCTCCTCTTCCTCCTCCTCCTCCTCCTCCTCATCCCCATCCTCGTCATAACTATTCATCCGCACCATCAGCATCCTCAACATCGTCACCACCAACAACATCAAACATCATCACGTCACCATCATCAGCATCATCACCACCACCACCACAACCATCATTTTCATCATCATAACCCATCATCATCACATCATCACCAACATCATCATTAACAACAACATCATCATCAACAACCGTTTCACCTTCATCAACACCAACGTCGCCATCATCACCGGCATCATCATTACCATCATCATAATCACCATCACCATGACCATATCATCATCGCCATCACCATCGTCATCATCAGCATCAACATTAGTTTCATCGTAATCAACGTCGTTAGCATCCGCGTCATATTCACCATCATCGCCAACATCATCATAATCGTCTGATACACCACCACCATCATTCACATCAGCATCAGCATCGTCCCCATTATTATCACCATCGTACACATCATCAACACCACCATAAACATCATCATTCGCATCATCAGCATCAGCATCGGCATCATCATCCTCATCATCCGAACCATTGTCATCATCAGCATCAATGTCAGCATCATCCGCATCACTACCATCACCACCAACATCATCATTACCATCGTCAGTACCAACAGCACCATCATCAACATCGCTATCAGCATCACATGTATCATCAACAACGACGTCATGAATTGCCAATGTCATCGCCATCACCCTCGTCATCGTCGAAGATCGAGGTGGTCCCGTGTTAAACGCTGGGGGGCCACCCACACATCTACCATTGCCGCAAATTCGTTCGGCGCTTTACCACTCAAGCGTTTCCAAGAGGGAAAGGGGCGAGCAACGAGTCGCAGGACACGTCTTCAAAACCACTGCTTCCCAAACGTCCTTTCATCATCTGGCTCTCCCATGTACCCTTCTTCCGAGTTTGATCCTTCTACTCACCGTCGTCTCGTCCTTCCTTCATCCTGACTCCCCGTCGCATAGCATTCACATGTGTACGTGCACGAAATATCGGCGCACGTGTGTCGTCGCGCTTTGAAAATCCTCAGGTGCACCAGGACCTCTGTGCGCACCCAGGGCCATGGGGGGGGGGAGGGGGATCAGAGACTTGCATGGGGCAATTGCTGGCAGGCTGAATTCTGATTTGATGTGCCGCCTGTAGTCCTGTCCGTCCCCTTCCCACGCCCTCCTCTACCTTGAGGGCACGCGCGCATCGTTACTACGCCACCGTGCCTCACGCACGTCCTGTGGAGAGCCCTCGGGTCGTGCCTCAAAAAGATGGCTCGACCGACGGCATCAACTCGTTACAACAGCTGGGGGCCCGTCGTCGTCGTCCCCCTCTCCCTTCCTCCTCCCTGTCCTTCTCCTGTTCCTGCTGCTCGCGCTCCCCTCGGCGGTCTGGTCATACCTGCATGCTGCCACGATCGCGCACGGCACGCGCGGCACTCAGGGGCCCCGCATTTCCAGCGCCCGCGCGTCGCCAGGCCGCCGACGTCTGCGCGCCTGGCCAGGGACGCCGTGGCGGGCGTCAAGGATCTGCGCCGCCACGCCGCGCATCAAGGCTGCGTCCAGCTGGGCGCGCCACCGCCGCAGGCGCCGGCCCGAAGCGCGGCCGCGGCGATAGGCCCGCCGGGCGCCGGCCGCCGCGCAGTGCTGGAGCAGCGCCGCCGCGCGGTCACCCAGGCGCCCCCAGGTCTCGTGGGCTGCTGGCCGGACGTCGCGGCCCAGCGCTGCCGGGTACCTCTCCGCCTTCTCGCGCTCCGCCGCCGCCGCCGTGCTGCCCGCCGTGCTCCTGTTGCTGCTGCTGCTGCTGGTGCTCCTCCTCTTCCTCCTCCTCCTCGTTCTCCTAGGACTCACCCTCTTCCCTCTCCTTGCTCTCTTCCTCCTCCCCCCTCTCCCCTTTCCTTCTCTCTCCCCAGAGGGTCGCCATGCTCAAAATATGAGCACTCGAACTCAAGATTTGTGCCCGAGGTTCACTCTGAGCCTGGAGGAGCCCAAATTTGAGCCTGGCGTGTGGAAGACGCATCCCGGTGTCGTCGTCTTGCGTGGATCACCGTCGTCGTCGTCGTCGTCGTCGTCGCCCGAAATAAAAGGAAATCGAACACGAAACAAAAGGGAATCGTACTCGTGGGGAAGCCCCTCCCTACCCTTCTCACCGGAAGGGGGGAGAGGGGGGGGGAGGGGCGGGGGGGAGGTGTGTGTGGGGGGTGGGGGGGGGCAGATATGCATCCCCACGGGCGACCCTCTCCCGCCCTCTCCCCTTCCCCTCCGCCTCCTCCCTCCTCCTCCTCCTCCTCCCTCCTCCTCCTCCTCTCTCTCCACTCCTCCTCCTCCGCCTCCTCCCTCCTCCGCTCCTCCTCCTCGCCTCCTCCTCCTCCTCCTCCTCCTCCTCCTCCTCCTCCTCCTCCTCCTCCCTCCCTCCCTCCCTCCCTCCCTCCCTCCCTCCCTCCCTCCCTCCCTCCCTCCCTCCCCCCTCCTTCCCTCCTCCACCCTCCCCTCCTCCCTCCTCCCTCCTCCTCCTCCTCGTCCTCCTCGTCCTCCTCGTCCTCCCCTCGTCTCCTCGTTCCTCCTCCTCCATCCTCCTCCATCTCCTCCTCCTCCTCCATCCACTCCTCCTCCTCCTCCTCCTCCTCCTCCTCCTCCTCCTCCCTCCTCCCTCCGGCCTCCTCCTCCGCCACTTACCTCCGACGTCTTATTACGCATCCCGTCACCCTAGAGGGCCGAGGTATCCAGGGTCGGCGGCACTGGCCGTAAGGCCTTGGCAATATGAGCACTCGAACTCAAGATTTGTGTCCGAGGTTCACTCTGAGCCTGGAGCCCAAATTTGAGCCTGGAGGTGTTATCAGACTTTGAGCCTGGCGCCTGTCTCGTCTCTAGGTCCGCCCCCCCCTAGTCCTCCGCTCCAGGAGGAGGAGAAGGAGGAGGAGGAGGAAGGGACACGAGGTAGGACGAAGCGAGGAAGTAAGGAGGAAGGCCCTTCCCCCATCCCTTGCCTTTCGGCCCTCTCGTCTGCCATCCCGCCCTCATCCTGTCTGCCCTCGCCTTCATTACCCTACCATTCCCTATCCCATCCTCTTCCGTAGCCCCACCCTATCATGCCCTGCTACTCCCTCTTCCAGTTTCGCACCATGCCGTCCCCGCCATGCCTCATCACCCCGACCCATCCATCCCTCATCCTGTCTTCCCCCATCGTCTCCATTCCCCCCCGTCCCTCCCTCCTTGATCCCTAACGTCCGTCGCTCCACCCCCAAACGTGTCGGTAGGACGGGCTGGGCGTTTCACCTAAGACTCCACCACCCTTGTTTATGATCCTGAAGCTTGAGATTAGCAAGAGTTTCACGGGTGGAGCGCAGGCCATTTTTCAACTTTGGCTCTCGAGGTAGCGCCGCGCGCATTCGTCTTGAAATCTCGGCAATTTCAAGTATTGAGGGCCGGCGCTGTTCCAAATGTTACTCTTGCCTTAGCGCTGGGCACACTCGTCTTACAAGTTTGCAACACTGTCACGGATGGAGGGTGGGCCGTCTTCAAAATGCTACTCTCGCCTTCGCACCGTGCCCATTCGCCAGCAAAGTTTGCAACATGTTAGATGATGAAGGGCGGCTCTGGCTCAAAAAGTGGCTTTGGCTTTAACGCTGCGCGCACTCGTTTTAAAAGTTAGCAGCAGTTTCAAGGAGTCGCATGGTTGGAATCCCAGGAACGCTGTTCTGGCAAACTTAGGCCTGTCTGGACGCAACTATCAGGTATATTCGTAGTGTAGAGGTCACAATACATGCGTTACGGTGCAATCCAGGTTGTCAGAAAGCATCAGTTACGTTGATTTGCGACGCCAGAGTCCCAGGAATGTGTTTGGCACGATGTATGATTCTCAGACGGGTCGTCTTCCGATGGTGCGTCTCCCGCAACGAGGAAATTCTTGCATGACCCTATGAAGGGGGAACTTGGAGGGACGGTGTCATGCAACATCGTTGATGCGTCTCGGGCTTAAGCTGGTCCTCCCCCTCCTCCCCCTCCTCTTCCTTCTCCTCCTCCTCCTCTTCCTCCTCCTCCTCCTCCTCCTCCTCCCCCTCCGCCTCCTCCCCCTCCGCCTCCTCCTTACAGCTGGGCTGCTGCCGCACGGAATACTAGACAAGCATCGAAGGCCCCGTGTGGCCCCCAGGAATGCCCCAGGAGCACGAGGAACGCCTGCGAAAATAACCACAGAAAATACCCGAGAGATCAGCGGGCCCCTGCCCGGGCACCGAAGGTGCTCATTCCGGCGCCTTGACTGCACTGGCCCTCCTCCTCCTCCTCCTCCTCCTCCCTCCTCCTCCCCCTCACCGACGATTCCTTCTCAACCTCCTCTTCCTCCACCTCCTCCTCCTCCTCGTTCCCCTCCTCCTCCTTCTCCTCCTCCTCCTCCTCCTTCGTCCCCTCCTCCTCCTCCTCGTCCTCCTCCTCCTCCTCCTTCGCCCTCAAGCCAATTCGGCCCGAGCATTTTGCACGGGCCTCTCCTGTACCTTAGCGAGGTGCTTGAGTACCTTCTCCCTGCCTACTGCCCGCAAGCAGGGGGACGACGAAAGCAGGAGTTCAGCCATGACGGTTTTGCGCCCATGGAGTCACTGTGCGCATTGCAAGCGCCCTGAGTACAAAGATAAGCTGATGAAGAATAACTGCCAGTGCGGCCACTGCGGGAAGAAGGTTCGGTTGTTTCGTCCCAGGTCGGCCTCACCAGCTGGTAGCAACAAGAGCGTATCGTTCGACATGGAACCTGTGCTCATCGGCGGACGCGCGGGAGCAGGCTCGGCAGATTATGCCCCTCGCTCCCGCGGTGCCCGCAAAGCGGCTGCCAAGGAGAAGGCCAAGCAGAAGCAACTGGCCAAGCTCTTGGACCAGGCCATCGAGGCCGCCGACAACGATGAGATGAAGCGGGCGCTGCAGCATCAGAGTCAGCAGCTGGCGGTG